TTTTGCTTTTTTTGCTTTTATTTGCAGATTCAGATTTGTTTGAATTTGCCTTTTTGCTTTTATTCATAGGCTCGGGTTTGCTTTAATTTACTTTCCTTTATAGTGCTGTGTTGGTTTTTTACCGCCGTCTCCAGTTCTTGCCTCGAACTCCTGGCTTGTATTTTCGTAATCCTATCCTCAAATCCTGCCTGCAAAGCGGCATCTATGCTCCTCTCCATTCCTATTGTAGCAGTAAAGCAGTATTCCAGTCCTTCCCCTACCCCGAATATCCGCGGCGAAAACCTGGAGCACACTTCCCCTTCCTTCCTCTCCTCTCCAAATGCTCGTGATCCAGCCAACCGACAAGCGATCCACGCCATGTAGCCATTAAATCCATTTATCCTAGCCTCCTCCTCCGCCTCGGACGAAACTCGCAATATAGCCAACGCAGGCCCCGCTAACATGAACAAATTTTCGCAACTCATGTATGACGCTGGCCGAATTGAGATAGCTGCATGAGTGGTGCGCATCCATCAATGAACGTGATTCTCTGTGTGGTCGGGTTGGTGAACGGTGGGGCGCCGGGGTGCGTGAGCGGTTGTTTGCGTGGTGTGCGGTTGGAGTGGCGTGACGTGCGGTTGCAGTTAGCGTGCGTGGGCGCAAGTGCAGTGCGTAGGCTGAGCGAGGGGAGGGTGGTTGCGGGCTGGCGCACGACGAGAGCTGGCCGGTGGCAGTGCTGGGGCTTTTTGTTTCAGAGTGGGCATGGCCGGTCGACGCGCCTCCTACGGCTATCAGCAGACCGAGGGACTGTCGGGCGCCGAGTACCTCGCGTCCATCTACGGCACCGAGAAGGACAAAGTGAACTGCTCCTTCTACTTCAAGGTGAGCCCGCTGCGTGCTGCGCTCCGCTGCTGCCGCCGCTGCTGCTGACGAGGTGTACTTGCAGATCGGGGCGTGCCGGCATGGCGACAAGTGCTCGCGAACGCACCACCGTCCGACGTTCTCGCCGACAGTGCTGCTCCAGAACTTCTACCACAACCCGATCGTGGACGTGCGCCAGGCCGATGCCTTTGACAGTCTGCTTTTCACTTCACTTTACCTGCCCGCCCCACCCTCCCCCCAAGCCCGGAGCGCCCTGCTGCTGCTGCTGCTGCTGCACTGCCGGCTAGCACAGGCGCGTTCCACCTGGCCCTTCCCAGTGCTCTGGTGTACATGCTGCTTTGCGTACCGCTACGCTTGTTACGCTCAGTGTTGCTGTCATTTTTGCAGAGGTGGGAAAGAAGAACGACGAGGA